AGGGCTGTGACGCACCTAGGGGGTGGGGGCGTCGGTCCAGGGCCCCCCCCTAGGCCGCCTGTTCAAAACTGTATTATTACGTATAAAAAAATGTGATATCAGGGCGTGGCACCCTCACACGTCAATTTTCTGTTGAGATTTCTAGACACAAACCACAACCTATGTAGGGCCCCCCCTCCATTCCCTAAACATATTTTCTGGGTGCGCCACTGTTCAAAGTATAGATTAGGGGCCCACGAATATATTTTGCCCTGAGGCGCACTCGTTCCTAGATCCGCCACTGTTTTTTGCTTGAATCGAATGATTACTTTTATATTTTGATGGTGGTCTCTATACCTCACCTTTTGCAATAAAAATGTAATTATTCTACCGCTTTTTTCTTATTTGCAATTAGGTTTGAAAGGCTATGCCAATGGGTCAATAATATACCTACTCCTATTTAAAAAAGTTCAACTTTGCTTTGCCACACATTTGTGTTCGGGCCTATAAGAACTGTTTTTATTTTCTTTTATTCTTGCTAAATCGTGCAACGTCGCTTTTACCGCGCCGACCGCGATTGTACCGTCGCCAGCGCTACTAGGATGAAATTATCGACGAAGAGAGAGAATATCGATAGAGAATATGGAGCCATGATCGATTTGTTTTGTGAGGTTAGATTTTAGACAGACAGCGAGAGGGGTTGTGGCTGTAATTTTTGTCGTTGTTCCTTTGTCGTTATTGTAAATCCTTTTCCAATAAAATAGTTTTGGATACAATTGAAAAATGGTGTTTGCTAATTTTGGCTTTCTATGGTGCATAGTTGGCACAAAAAATATTAGTCTTTTTGTCGTATAAAAGTATACAGTCCACTCAACAATTTGTGACACACCATGTATACTTGTTACTCACTTCATGATTGAAAACTTTCTGATATTACCTAACTTTCACATTTGACATTTACATTTCAATGGTGTGGGTGCAAAATATAGACAATCACCCGGTACATAAGGAATTACTCGGTTGCTACTGGAGTTGGAAGGATGGCTACTTTTTTGTTAAACGAAAGATGGCGTCAATAGAATTGTCATCGGTTTCCGTTTTTTTTCAGATACAAGGTGTTTTTGAAAAAGATGCATTTTGGGACACACCTTGTATCTCGGTTCTCTCATAATAAGTGATCGAAAAGGTGAAAACGGATTCTAATAGATATTTTTACGTAGACTGCAGTGGCGTAGTCAGCTTTTCGCTAAAAGTGCTAGTTTTTGATTTATGAACCAAACATAGTGTTTTTAAATGAGACACCCGATATATTATAAAATCATTGGATAGCTCTGCTTTTGCTGATTTCAATGATACAAAATTTATCTGTAACAGTTTTCGAGCAAAATATATTTTTAAATGTTTTTGTCATAAGAAACAATGTGTTAGAAAGAGACTTTTCTCATTTTCCTTACAGATGCAATGTTCTTTTCTGACACATTTTTTCTTATAAAAAACAGACATAATAGAGATACACGTATCGAACTTTATATCATTGAAATCAGCAAAAGCAGAGCTATCTAATTAATATACAGGGTGTCTCATTTGAAAAAAATGTACTTATGTTTGGTTCATAATTTAAAAACTATCACTTCGAGTAAAAATAATCTACAGGAATCCGTTGTCACCTTTCCGATCACTTATGAGAGAACTGAGATACAAGGAGTTGAAAAAACCAAAAGATCAATGACAATTCTGTTGGCGCCATCTTTTGTTTGACAAAAAAGTAGCCGAAGTTCGTGAAAACCGAATTCTTTTAACTACAATAACAACAGAGTTATTCCTTATGTAGCTACAACAAAAAGTGGGACACCCTGTACATGAACCTATGGTTCGAGCACACATAACTATTGGTATTTCACTTGATTTCTGTGCCTTGACCGAATTCTCAAACGAATATGATTTGGCTGCTTGAATAGGATGTCATAATGCATATCAGACATTCAGACATTGAACACCATGTATCTCAAAAACTAGTCATAGGATTAAGTTGTGCTCATGGTAGTTATTGATCAGAAGGGTCAGATCTATAACATACTGAAATTTGGTTAAATTTGACCGCGGTCAAAAATCCCATAAGAAGTGTGCGGGGTCCTTTGTAACAATTCACCTCAAAATTACCTAAAATACCATTTTAAATAGATCTATTTATACCTGGTTTACAGTGAACAGTGGAAATAATCAAATATGTGATAATTTTGAGTGTAATTATTGTGATTGACATATACTTAATGGTAAGAATTTAATTTAAAAATATAAGCCTGAAGGGTTAAAATAATAATAATAATATTAATAATCTTTCAGCAAAATAGGACTAAAGGTCCGCTGGTTTTATAATCCAGAAATACCCTAAAGCTGTTGGTAATTAAATGAGGCTTCAGCTCTCAATGAGATAGATAGCCACTGTCAGATGATTAATTTAGAGACTTGGATGGTTCCCAAAGACAGCACAACAATACTCAAAACTTATTATTATATACTGGGTAGGTCTAGTAGGTTCTTAGAAGAGTGAGAGGACAACAAGGTCCTCAAAGTTCTTCAGGCGATTCACCAGGTCCAGGACTACTTGTCGGAAAAATAACCATGCAATCTCTAAGTAAATTCAAGGCCTCTGTAAATGCTTAGCTTCAAGATAGGGTTGGATGTCACTTGCTTGGTAGGGTGTAGATACTGACAAAAAGGGGGACCCTAACGTAAAAAATGGCCTAAAACAATGAGAATTGCATCAGGATTCTGAAGAATAAGGTATGTACGATTTATTTAAATATTTCTAGCAGTAAAGCCTCAATTTAGTATTCAAAAGTAAGAAAATAAGGAACTTACCAATGGAAATTGGCCTTTTTTCACAAACTCAAAAACGTGGAACCAAAGTTTAGGTTTTTCTCCCTAATTCGTCACTAAATTAGTAAAATAGTGCTTCGGTGCTATTAAAGAGCTAATAGCCACCTTTTAACGAAATATTTGGGACCTAAACTTTCAAAAATCGGCAAAAGAAAAGCCACGAGAAAAGCAAAGCTGCTTCTTCTCTACGAAAAATGTGGTTCTGTTACGAAATTCGGTTTTTTTGTTATCTTCGCGCGGGAATTTTGGTTCTGGGGAAAAAGTTAGGGTTTTTCGATTTTTAGGGTTTGTAGCTAAAAATTTTCGAGCCAAAAATCAAAGCGACATCTATGAAACCAAAAGAAAACGAGTTTAGAACTATTGTTGAATAAATCTTTCTTGACAATTTGATGTCCTTGATAATTTTTAATAATTTAAATTCCTTATTTTCAGATAAATGAATTGAAATGACTGATGATGGAGATATAATTGTCTTAATTAATGAAGCGCTGAACAAGGTAAGTATTTATTTAACATTCAAAACAAAGGTACTTAACGGTTAATTTCATTTCAGGAGGGTTCGAGGTCCATGAGAGAAGATGTTCGGAGGTTCTTTAGTTTTTTAATTATTTTGTAACGACCTATTATTTTGACCCGTAACATATGTACCACGGGAATTATCAGGTGTTAATACCCACGGGCAATTGGTGTCCTTCGGGACACAAACTATTTTAACTCACTCTCGGTCTTTTAAGTCACTAGCCAGTATAAAAATCTGCTACAAATACAAACAAACAACTAGTTATACCGTAGCAACCACCAATTTCATTAATTAGCGCCTGCATATATATCCTATTCACAATCCGTAGTCCAAAGGTAAAGGTAAATTTTATCACCTTTCCCTATCAAATAGCACTGAAAGGTGATAAATTTACCTTTACCTCTGGACATAGGATTGTGAATAGATAATAAGTACTTAACTAAATGAATTCTTTTTATAATTTGATTCCTATTCTTCTTTAAATGTCCATCAAAATGGGATAAAATTTTGTATACATCACGTGAGTTAAAATGTTAATTCATACAAAGAAAGTTAACCCACTCATTAGGGCTCGTGGGTTGAACTTTCTTCTCATGAATAAACATTCATTTAACTCACTTGGTGTCTCATGTGTCTCGTGTCTCATGTGACATGATTTTCCGATAATATCCAAAAGGTTTTTTTTTTTTTTTCACAAATCAAATTTATCAATTTTTTGATATCCATATCCCTATATCTTTTCAGCACCAACACACTCAACGCACACAAATCGTCGAAACTACTGCGATAAATCCCATGTTTTCGTCCAAATTAGCACGAATAATTTCGGGTACAATGTACGACCGTCATTAGGTTTTACTGAAATGGGATCATTCGCAATTCGGACAAAAACGCATCCAAAGGACGACTGGCATTATTTCCTCGGTTTTTTCCTAACAATGGTGATTGTGTGTAGTGTTCCTTTTCGTAAAAATAATTCCTATTCACCGGCGCACGTGTCTTTCCATAAGTTTCCACCAAATCCATTGCATCAAATTCAAATCAATGACATTGACAAGCAAGCAAATGCTGGCGGGAAAATGTACCTAAGTTTTCATACTGACTACATTTATTTCACGCGTTGTATCTGGATACTAAGTGGATAAAGGATTATTAATCCATATTCGTTTATTCCACAACTATTAAATGGATTAAGATTAGTGCTAATCCTTTCTTAAGCCTTGTTACAAGCGCAAGCCGAAATTGCTTTGTGTCTAACTTCATTAAAGGCAATCAGCTGATACACTTTTTAGGTTTTTATTAGGTTTAGGTAATTTTTTCTTGAAGTTAGCAACAAACTTCTTAAATCCCAGATTTGAGGTGTTTATTTCACATTTGAGATAATCCATTTTAAGTACAATCCTGCAAATTTGGAGGATTGGATTAAGTACTTCGATGCGGATTATTTCTCAAATCCTGGGTGTTTATTTCAGGATTATTAATCCCCAATATAAATCCAATCCACTTAGTATCCGGATACGACGCATGAAATAAACGTAGTCACTATCGTCCATCTCTTTTAATTGAAAACGTCGTATTTGTATTTCTCAGGAAACTACCTTTGAATCAATTTTTGAATAAATAAAATTGCGGTTTTATTCAATGTCTAATGTCTATATTATTTATAAATTATATAAAGAGTAAAATCTGTATCATTATGAGAGTCTCGTAAACTTCCTAAATGCTTGTTCTTTGGTAGGTACTAAGTATTTGTCGTAGACCATCCTTCTCCAGTACACCCGGCAAGCTCTGGCCAATCACACTGCTTCTTGTTGGGATTCCAGTTTAATTCCTCAGGACAGTTTTGCAAATGGGCAATTCCGTTACTACATCGCCAGTATTTAGTACAGTCGCTATCTTGGAAAAAGTCGCCATCGATGCATTCATCGCAGCTCGCTAAAACAAAAATAATTATAAGGCTTCAGCTTTTCAACATTCGAACTATCTTCGGTTTAGTTTTATGAACAGCTGGTAATCGATTGACTTATATTGATGATTAGGTGATTATCACCGAGCGAGAAAATTATTATTTCTCTCAGCTACCTAATTTCCTTATTTTGGTGTAATTTTTTGTAACCTTACTAACTTATTCGTGATCAATTATCAATTACTAGCGGCCCGCTCCGGCTTTGCACGGGTATAATAGCTATTTATGTACCAAGGGGATTATGCAGATTATAATGCCCGAAGGCGAAACTAGCCCGAGGGCCTATGGCCCGAGGGATATATTTCGCCTGAAGGGCATTATAATCTTGAAATCCCCGTGGTGCATACAATGCTTTATTTTCTACTCAACACAATGTTTTTTCATCAATTTGTTATTAACAAAATCAGTTAAACTTGTGTGACAGAATATTGTTTTGTATTTTGACATGTACCTGCACCTATGACCTGTACCTGTACCTGCGACCTGTACATAGAAACGAAATAAATTAATATATCTATAAACATCTCATAAGGCAAGGCAACGGTGGTGGTCCTGTGGGTTAACGCGCTGGACTACATGGGAAACATTGATGGTAGACCGGGTTCGAATCCTGGCTAGACCGAAAATTATTTTCGGTCAGACATTTAGTGGCTGCCTAGGGTAAAGTGCAAATTAATAGAACAACAACAACAAAAACACCTTAAGGTATTATAAGCGGGCGTTATAGATCATAACGCCCGCAAAAGCGGGCGTTATGGATCAGGTTGTTATAGGTGTGTTAACGTATTTCGTTTCCTAGGTATTATGGATCTATAATAGTAAAGTAGAAAATAAAATATATAGCATATGTCACTCACTGAAAAAATGATTAAAATCGATCCAGTAGTTTTGATTTATTCATTACTGCCCGTGGCCCGCACGCGTTAAATTTGGAGTAAAACAATTCCCCTTTCCCTTGTTTTTTGTTGTGCTTGTTTATACTGTTTTACTCTTTGCCATATAGGTCTATATTAAATCAACAATGTATTTAAGGTATTTAATTGGATACGGATTAATGCTGTATTGGTTAAAATCGCTTCCTGCGTTTGCAATGTAAGCGGAAGAAATGTAATTATTTACGACATCACATTGGAAACCTAAAAAATAACAGTATTTCTCCACTATTTAATGGATGTTATTATACATATACCTAAACCTTCCTCTTTAATCACTCTATCTATTAAAAAAAACCGCATCAAAATCCGTTGCGTAGTTTTAAAGATTTAAGCATACATAGGGATATAGGGACAGAGAAAGCGACTTTGTTTTATACTATGTGTAGTGATGTAGTGATTATCATCAGTTTTTCCATAAATATAAAATATACTGTTGTGTACCCAATAATACATCAGTAATTAATCCATAAGAACATTTAAATAGGTATACAAATCCCTTTTTCTATTTTAACTGTTATCTGTTTCACAAAGGCCCGACCATGTCTTTGCCTCTACACCCATCAAGGTATACATTTCCGAACCTTATATATGATTACCCTCTATTTATAAATTGTTACGTTCTTGGTAATGTCAAATACATACAGGGTGGAATTTTTAAATGGAATAAATTCGTTATCAGAAAGCCTGTTTATTTTCTGGAAAAATAAAAAAACACGGGTCCCTTTATTTTTAGTTTGGCACATTTTTTTGGCCTTTTCATGGAGTTTACCCCTCTCTTGAGGGTAGAAACCACCCCCAACTTTTTTTTTCAAATGTAAAGATATGTATTGTGATAGCTCGTTGGAATGGGCATAAAAAAAGGAATATGACCTATGACCCAGTATTTACTTTTGCATTTTGGTGCAAGAAAAAAATAAACCAAAATTTTTCCACACAATTTTTTTACAATTAAAATTGTTGAATATCTTCAGCATTTCTTCTTGGTAAAACCCTAATGCGAAATAAGCCCCATTTGTAACGTTATGTAATTATTTCTGACGTTAACACACTATTTGATGTCTGATACTCGGATTCTCAACCCTAAAATAGTGTGTTATTTTCAAAAATAATAACATAACGAGACCACCAAAATGCAAAAGTAAATAATGGGTCGTATTCCTTTTTTTTATGCCCATTCCAACGAGCTATCACAATACATATCTTTACATTTGAAAAACAAAGTTGGGGGTGGTTTCTACCCTTAAGAGAAGGGTAAATTCCATGAAAAGGCCGAAAAAATGTGACAAACTAAAAATAAAGGGACCCGTGTTTTTTTATTTTTCCAGAAAATAAACAGGCTTTCTGATAATGAACTTATTCCATTTAAAAATTCCACCCTGTATGTAATTCTTGTACGTGCTCAAATACGTAGGTTTCAATTTTTAGTATTGTAGAAAATTTCAAAAGTAGGTAAGTACCATACTTAGTAATTACAATATGGAAATATTTTTTCCTACGAGCGTGCGCAAAGTAGTACTTTTCCGCACGCATTTCCGGGCTCAAAGTTACACTTTTCCGCACTCAGTGCGGATACAGGCCTTATCCGCACTGAGTGCCGAAAAGTAATTATAATTGTCAAGCAACAATAAGTGCACCTGTCGACTTTGACACATGATGACAAATTTTTCCTCTGGTCCTATATCAGCCAACATCTATACAAACACCAAATATAAATTAACTTTGACACATTGTCAGATTTGTTCTCTACTTATATGCAGAAATCTACAAACTTTCTCATCAAATTTAAACGCTTTAAGATGAGCAGCTCTGACGAGGATTTTCTGTTATTTTTTTTTGTTATGTAATTTTTTGATAAATGCATAGGTTCCCTTCAAGTTAAATAAAAATAATTAAACAAATTATCGTTTTTTTTTTTTTTAATTTTTGTTATTACCTACCTGATATGAAGCTCGTAGGAAAAATTTTGTTCCTAACACGTGCGCAAAGTGTCTTTTCCGCACGCAAACACGTATCCGAACTCCGCTTCGCGTCGTTCGTATAACTGTGTTTTCGTGCGGAAAAGTAACACTTTGCGCACTTGTTAGGAAAATAACTATTTCCTTCAGCCGTGCGGAAAAATCGATTTTCCGCACTGATATGCGTGCGGAAAATGAGTTTTCCCCCACGGTGCGGTAAAACTTTTACCGCATGCATATCAGTGCGGAAAAAGTTTTTCCGCACGGCTATCAGTGCGGAAAAAATTTTGCCGCACTGATATGTCAAAAAAAAAGGAAAAATTTTACATTTTTACGCCTGTAGGAAAAATATTGTACCTAACACTTGCGGAAAATATTTTTCCGCACTCGGCTGCTTCACCGAACTCCGCTACGCGTCGTTCAGCCGCGTGCGGAAATAGTTTCACCGAGGTATGTATACTATTTTATTTACAATCATTCGAATTTTGAAATTTTCATTTGGATTAAAACTAAAAAATACAATAATTAACAATTTCATTTACTTTCGGCCCACGGGTCGAAAGTTTACTTTCGACCCGTGGGCCGAAAGTAAAAGTCAAAAAATACAATAAATTTTAAAAATTTCATTCACTTTCGGCCCACGGGTCGAAAGTAAACTTTCGACCCGTGGGCCGAAAGTAAAAGTCAAAAAAGTGACATTTTCGAACTTTTTAAAAGTCAGTAAAGTCAAAATTACATGTATGATTGTAAATAATAGTATATTACATACCGAGGTGGAAAGTGTTTCATTACTGTCGAGAGATTTAAGTTAGACCGAGGCGCAGCCGAGGTCTAACTGAAATCTCGAGACAGTAATGAAACTTTTCACCGAGGTATGTATACTATTTTATTTACAATCATTCGAATTTTGAAATTTTCATTTGGATTAAAACTAAAAAATACAATAATGAACAATTTCATTTACTTTCGGCCCACGGGTCGAAAGCTTACTTACGGGGCCGAAAGTAAGAGTCAAAAAATACAATGAATTTTAACAATTTCGGCCCACGGCCACGGCCACGGCCCGAAAGTAAAAGTCAAAAAAGTGACATTTTCGAACTTTTTAAAAGTCAGTAAAGTCAACATTACATGTATGATTGTAAATAATAGTATATTACATACCGAGGTGGAAAGTGTTTCATTACTGTCGAGAGATTTTAGTTAGACCGAGGCACAGCCGAGGTCTAACTAAAATCTCGAGAGAGTAATGAAACTTTTCACCGAGGTATGTATACTATTTTATTTACAATCATTCAAATTTTGAAATTTTTATTTGAATTAAAACTAAAAAATACAATAATTGACAATTTCATTTACTTTCGGCCCACGGGTAGAAAGTTTACTTTCGACCCGTGGGCCGAAAGTAAAAGTCAAAAAATACAATAAATTTTAAAAATTTCATTTACTTTCGGCCCACGGGTCGAAAGTAAACTTTCGACCCGTGGGCCGAAAGTAAAAGTCAAAAAAGTGACATTTTCGAACTTTTTAAAAGTCAGTAAAGTCAACATTACATGTATGATTGTAAATAAAAAATTTTACCGCACTGATATGTCAAAAAAAAAAAAAAAATTACATTTTTTCGCCTGTAGGAAAAATATGTATTGTACCTAACACTTGCGGAATAGTTATTTTCCTAACAAGTGCGCAAAGTGTTACTTTTCTGCACGCAAACACAGTTATACGAACGACGCGAAGCGGAGTTCGGATACGTTTTTGCGTGCGGAAAAGACACTTTGCGCACGTGTTAGGAACAACATTTTTCCTACGAGCTTCATATCAGGTAGGTAACAAAAAAATTTTTAAAAAATACCGATAATTTGTTCAATTATTTTTAATTAACTTGAAGCGAACCTATACATTTATCAAAAAATTACCTAACAAAAAAAAAAAAAAAGAAAAGTTCTCGTCAGAGCTGTTCATCTTGAAGCGTTTAAATTTGATGATAAAGTTTGTAGATTCTTGCATATAAATAGAGAACAAATCTGACAATGTGTCAAGGTTAATTTATATTTGGTGTTTGTATTGATGTTGGCTGATATAGAAACGGAGGAAAAATTTGTCACCATGTGTGAAAGTCGACAGGTGCATTTATTGTTGCTTGACAATTATTTTTACTTTTCGGCACTCAGTGCGGATAAGGCCTGTATCCGCACTGAGTGCGGAAAAGTGTAACTTTGAGCCTGGAAATGCGTGCGGAAAAGTACTACTTTGCGCACGCTCGTAGGAAAAATATTTTCCGCACGGCTGTCAGTGCGGAAAAAATTTTACCGCACTGATATGTCAAAAAAAATAAGAAAAATTTAACATTTTTTCGCCTGTAGGAAAAATATTGTACCTAACACTTGCGGAAAATATTTTGTCCAGGTAGGAACAGGTAGGAGCTTTGTCAGTAGGAAGCCGGTCGTTCCTATGACATTTTGCCAGTGTAAAACACTCTAGTGAAATAGTCATATATAATATCACAGGAGAAAAAAATTTGTCGGCAAAATTTTCGAAAGGTATGAAAGTTTGTTGCTTGGCAATTTCGCGAATGACATTTTTGACATTTTATCAAAAATGTCATGAGCGAAATTGCCGAAAAGTAACAAACTTGAACAGCTTACGGGTAAACTCTCGGTGCACAGATAATACCTAGTTTTTTCCCATCACCACAAGTTTCACGTTATGCAAACCAGATTCTTAACATTATGATATTAGGTACTAGGGGATAGCCGATGCGTGCTACTACGCTAAAACCAGATGTCAAATTTTTGACCTAACGCTTCCTAGATAAATAACTACCTAATTAATGATTGTCGTTGTCATTAATTGTCATTTCAAACCATGAGGTCATTTTAATAAATTTTGACATTTTTTCAGGTTTTAATATCATTTTTTGGGGATAATACCACATAATACCACGAGAGCTTCAAAATTACGGATAATTTTTCACGATTCTAGGAAGCGTTATGTCAAAAATTTGACATCTGGTTTTTCTCAAAAATGTCCCAATGAAACCTATTGAGATTTTTGAGATTATATAAAGCAAAATGAGCTCTATCCAATCAATGGAAAAAAAGATGGCGTTCCCATTTAAAAAAAAACATCAATGACGTCATATCTTTGAGAGGATTTTTTTTCCTATATCTCTGTGTAACTTTTCCCTACACGTCTTCTTACCAGCCGTTTTCGCAGAAAAATGCCAACACACATACATACACACATACATACACCTATACATACACACACAGACGGAAATGTGCCACCTTGCCAAAAAGGCTTAAAATGATCCAAAACGTCAAGATTTGATGAAATTCTGACATGGTCAAAATCGGGCTATCACCATAGAGCTTCCTATCTAGGAAGCTAAAAATAAGTACATTTTGTTTATTTGTTGAAAAAAGCAGTTTTTTAAAGATAGGGGTAGTCCTGACAACCTGCCCACCTCTCCATCTGTCACATTTGACAGTTGACATTTGTAAAATTTTTTCAACGTCTAAAGCTCGGGACACATCTATCATGCATTCTTCCGATCCGACTCCGATCATACAATCAGGGTCCTTATTCTTGGAACAGGGAACAGCGTTCCCAAGGAGAATGAGTGTTCCGCTGCTCCCCTGTTCCAAGAATAAGGACCTTGATTGTATGATCGGAGTCGGATCGGAAGAATGCATGATAGATGTGTCCCTGGCTTTCTGGAGTCTCCGATTCTGAAAACCGGGAAGGCATATGACGTCCTTTTGTCATATTTTGACAGCTGACTATCAAAAAATACATTTGACAGCTGTTGAGTTATCCAAATTATATTATCACCCGAACTTAAAAATAAAATGTATGTGAAATTTCAGCTAATTCCGTTGCGAAGAAATGGTTCAAAAATCTGCACCTGTCACATTTAACAGTTTACACCTGTTATTAGTGGTCTAAAATGTATTATCACCCGAACTTGAAGTGTATGCAAAATTTCAGCAAGATCCGTTGCGAAGAAATGGTTCAAAAATCTGCACCTGTCACATTTGACAGTTGACACCTGTAATTAGTGGTCTAAAGCCTTCTTCTCATTATTGCCTTTCATATTATACTGGTTTGGGGCACATTAGTCGGATGGTTTTAAAATCTATAACGGACATACATAGGTAGAAACATTTTTTGTGTTCTATACATATACAATAGATTTTGACTACCTATAATAAATGTCTGTTGAGATTTCAACTTACGTGAATTCACTGGCCTCGGAGTTGGTGTTGTGCTGGGTAGTTTGGTTGTTGGTGGACTAGAAGGAAAACATGCAAAAATAAGTTATTTTTTGTGCAACCGTCCGCGTAATGAGCTTTCGCGGCCGCTAAACAGGCCGTAAAATTCAATTTCGCGGCCGCCACACCTGACGTGTAAAATATGTCAAATCCTTGTCAAATTCATACAGTTTTTCTTCAACTTTACATAATTTTTATAGTTGCACAAAAAATAGTGTGTATACCATGACCGCGAAATTTTTTAGCGTCTTCGAGATTATCTTGCCTCGGCCGCAAGCGGCCTCGGCGGTAACTTTTCTCTACGTATGCTAAAAGGGAATTTTGCGGCCTTGGTAAGTGTACAAATAACTATTGTATTGTGTTTATTGCCGCATATAATATGATAATACCTGTCTAATTAAAAAAAAAAAATAGAAACATTTTTAAGTTTTTGATCATAAAACTGTTTATCGTTTGTTTCTTGTTTTTTTTTTCGTGATCGTATTTTACTACTTTTGCCTAAGTTTCCTTAAAGCTTTGATGAGCTTGACTTACGTCGACAGCAAATACAGGGCATTTTCCGACCAATAAGCGGCATTGTTTATGTTTTCAATATTGTCAGTGTCGTGTCTATGTCTATCTTGAGGAGAAAAATACAGTACTATAGTACTTTTAATAACCATTTGGAATAACCCCATCCATGTTTATTAATCATGAATCAGATGAAACAAAAATTATCAACCAATCACAAATCACTAAAACGTGGTGAACGAGAAATGACTGGTACTTCCAATAAGGTATTAAAAATACTATATTGTCTATCTATCTATCTATACCATTTCAGATCCTCGTCACACCATCCTTCACCAGTACATCCAGCCTCATCTGACCAATCACAAGCCTTCTCCAGAGGATTCCATTCAAGTCCAACGGGACAACTCCGTTCATACGCTTTTCCATTGCTGCATAGCCAGTATTTGGTACAGCTTTTGTTAGGAATGAAAATTGAATTTTCGCAATTTCTCGGACAGGGAGCTGAAAAAATAGTATAAGATTTTTTTGAAGTGTTATGTAGGTATTTATTTAACTTACGAGTGTTCTCAGGCTTCATAGTAGTCGAAGTAGTTGTTGATCTAGCGGGTTGTGGGCTATTAAAATTGTTTCGTTAAGCTTTTTTCGAATCAAATGTTAGTTACTATCAAGTAGGTATATATTATTGAAATAAAACGTAATAAGTAAATCACCCTGTATAATTTAAATGACTATTAGATAAAAGATGCTTTAAACTAAACAAATCAGCTTTCATTGTGAACTTTTTTTTACCTCAAAAATAAACGAGTTAAGTGGGTGTTCAATTTATAAGCAATAACCCTACAGTATCCATCACTATCCAGTTCCTGACTAGAACTTACCATTCTGGTGTACCATCACCGTATGCTTGTCCTGTGCAACCTGCTTGTTGTGGCCAATCGCAAAGGTTCAAGTTGGGATTCCACTGAAGACCATGCGGACAACTCTTCAGGTATGCGACTCCGCTGCTGCACTGCCAAAATTTGGAACAGTCACAATCGGACAAAAAAATATCGATTGGACAATTTTGAGGGCAGTTGGCTAAAGTATAATTAACAATGATTAATTCAATTTTGTTAGTTAGTCAATGTCTTCGGCCGAAAACAACTCCTCGGAGTTGCAAATACCCCTACCGGCAAAGAATTACACCGACCCGACAATTAGTGTGAAACTGTATACCAAGGTTTTGCAGCAACTTTTATCTGATGTTAACCCTCGTGAAATCAGGCAAGCTGAGGGAATTGAACGTGTAGTCGTGTAGGTTCTTGATTTGTAAAAAGACAAGAATAGGAAGTCAACAGAAGGGCATATGCCCAGGTAAATCGGACTGGAGTAGAAATGGTAAGCAGTTTCAGGTGAAACCGTTTGATGGTAAAAGATTTTTCAATGTAATTTCAGGATAAAACTGCTTCTTGAGCTTCATGGAGTTTTGCATGGTGATCCTAACAAAGGATTCGGCTGACGAGCAAACACCTGAGCGTATAAAGTTTAAAATTCATATCATTAAGGCTGGTTAGTTGATAGTTTGGCTGACAGTATGGAAGAGATGGTGTGAGATAAGGCTGTTACCAAGGACATGGTATTAGGACAAGGTCAAACACATATACAATCTAATCTGGCCAAGTACCTAAACCCAAGTACCCAAGCCTACAAATTCATAAATTCATGTAGTACATGTGTATAGTCTGGCTAGCCAAACGGCGAACTGCAATAGAATTTGTTGCTTTGCCAAACTTGACGGAAACAAAAATAAACAAGTTGGTGACATATTTTTTTTTGCAATATGGGCATGTGTAGTATGAAATAGAAAAAAATCCGGTAACATTGCGAAATGATAGATGTGGAGAGGCGTGATTATCCGGAGGCATTATTCTATTGGTTAGAGCGTGAACGACAAAGCACCGTGGCGTGGTTATTGGCGAAACTAAAAAACTTTTTTTCTAATAATTTTATTGGTTTATTTCCTTGGTGTTTTCGGTGCCACTGAAACGAAAGACATGGCTGTCATCAGGTGGTGTCAGTTGAGGTGTCAGTGAATATTTTTAGTTCACGCCCCACTTTTCTTCCCCCTTTCGTCTTTATCAAGTTACCACTTGCCAGACTATATGTATATTGCATATGTACCGAAGCCTACTTACGTCTTTTTGTTGGTGTTTTGGTAGTAGTAGTGGTAGATGGTGGCTTCGTTGTGGACGGACTAAAAAGAAGGTAAGTCCTCTATATATTAACCACTTTAAAATTGTTGTTTTTTATAGTGTTGCAGGTATTTCTTGTTCTTGTCTTGCTTTTTCTTGTTTTTGTCTTGTTCTTGCATGCAAGAACAAGACAAGAAGTGGATGAGCAAGAAATATACAAGACAAGAAACTCATAAGCAAGAACAAGATTTCTTGTGCAAGAAATTTGCAAGAAGCAAGACTTCTTGCATAATTTATTTTGAATAATAATATTTAGGTAGTTAATGAATATTAGCAAAAAATAACACATAATTACTTATACTCGAATAACATTTATTGTAAATAAATAAAATAATTTGACAAAAGAAAAACCTTTTTTCTAGTTTGGTACATAAATAGGACGTTTCATTGAAGAAGCAGTTACAAAAACTTTGAAAAATTCGTATTCTAATAAAACACAACAAACAAAAAATATGCTGTCTCAACAAAATTCTTAAAAATGGTGTGTGCTCAAGACCACAGGACAGAAAGTGAAAACTTCAATTAGGCGAGATTAACAATAGGAAATACAGGTATTTTTCATGCTCTATATTCAATGCCCAGATTGATCTATCTTTTTATCAAAGGGGTCTATGTCAATTCGTCGTAAGTCAATTCGTCATACGTCAATTCGTCGTAAAGTCAATACATCGTAAAGTCAGTTCGCCGTATACGTCAATTCGTCGTATACGTCAATTCGTCGTAAATTCAATTTTTTGTATAGTCCAACAAATACCATTTTAAAGTCACGTGATTTTTCTCTATCCTTGTTGAATACATCTCAAACAGCGGTGATAGTAAAATTGACAAAAAAATTGATGTCTAATTATTGTTCATAATATTCTTACCTGAAATAGAATCCGTCACTGTCATCAATTAGTTTGTCAAAGTTATTTTCGAAAATAATACAATGAACAAACACAGCTAATAATTTTGACTATATTAACCTTTTTCCAACTCGAAAAGAAGCAAATAGAAAACGGGTACCCAGTTTAAGTTCAGAATGTATTACAACAGACAGCAGATGCGACAAAAGTGAGTCTCGCAACAATTGCAAGTATTAAAATTGCCCTCTGATTGGTCAATACTACTTCAGAAACGCGTTTGTAAAATGCTAGTGGGAACATATATTAAAATTCAATAGTAATTAACCACCAGTAGCTTTTTGTAGGTGATATCAACGACATAATCAATGGACATACGTTTTTTGCCACCAGTATCACGTGACTTTAAAATGGTATTTGTCGGACTATACACGTGAATTCGTCGTAAAGTTAATTCGTCGTATACGTCAATCCGTCGTAGCGTTAATTCGTCGTATTTTAGGTATAATGTTACAGTGTATAAATTTGCACTTTTTCTATTTGATCAGACATTATCAAGTTTACCTATAATAACGACGCATTACCATATTGTCGTATATGTCAATTTCTCGTAGCGTTGATTCGACGTATACGTCAATTCGTCGTAAAGTCAATTTGTCGTACACGTCAAATTGTGGTAAAGTAACGTATACGACGATGGAGAGTTCTCGTGCTGTCCATATTTCGAATACCGTAACGCTATTTGACAAGTATGACAATGCTTACGGTATTAGCATTAGCGGAGCCAGCTTACTAACGGGACTTAGCGGATGCCTTACCGTAACGCTACGCTATGACAAAATTAGTTTACGCCCCATTAACATCTGCAAGAACAACAGTTTCTGATAATTCTTCGATAAAAAAAAACACCATGAGAAAATTAATGATACTCAGGAATCTTCAGGATAAATAAAAGTGAAAAAACAAGCAAAAAAAAGTTGGGTTAGATCACTCAATTCCAGCTGCCAAAACCGAATAAGGGATTAGAGGATTTCTGTGTCTTCGTATCCGAGAACTATAAAATAGGTACTATTTAAAACACCGTATTGTTAGCGTTAACCTAGCGTCTGAGGCACGAGAACTTTTTAATACAGGTAATTCGTCGTTATTATCGGTAAGGACAGTAAGTTTGATAACGTCTGATTAAACAGTAAATTTATACATTTTAACATCGTATCTGAAAAGGACGAATTAAAAATACGACGAATTGACGTATACGATGAATTAACGTGTTAATAGTTTGCAATTCTAATCAGACATCATCAAACTTACCGATAATAGCCTGGTTAGTTTGCAATGTAATGCCTGATTAAAATTGCAAACCAACGGGGTTAAGTTTGGTAATGTCTGAAATAACTAACTAGACAGTGTAAATTTATACATTTCAATATTTTCACATAATACCTGAAATACGACGAATTGGAGTATACGACGAAATAATGTTACGACGAATTGACGCATACGACGAATTGACATATACGACGAATTAACTTTACGCCGAATTGACGTATACGACGTATTGATTTACAGCGAATTGACGGTGACTCGTATCAAAGATATGAATAGTTTTGATTTAAATCCATTTGCCAAATATTCTTTAGATTATGCCTGTGTGAAACAGCAATTTCTGTCACACATGAGCATACGGCATACGTTTATATTACATATATTAAATTACGATCAAAGAAAACAGAAAATAATGATTATTGTCAAAAAATGTGTTGACTCGAGACGACTGTACCCGAATGAGCGTTACATAGTAGAACGTGACGGCTCAGTTTTATTCAGTAGGTACTCACAAAAAAGTGTGCGAAACACGTCTAAATAAGATTCAACTTGAAAAATATTTGTAAAGGTTCCAATATAATGAAAACTTTCAAAAATAAAACATTTTCATTAAACATTTAATTCGTCGACTTGTCTAATGTAATACAATTAAAAACGTTTGAGTTTTTTCAAGGAAGTTCAATCATTATTTTAAAACTTAACTTGCTCAACTCTTTGAAAAGGGACTATAACCAATGTCAAATCTACGTAGGAACTTTTTATGAAGCAAGAACAAGAAATAGCAAGAGTCTTGCAGCAAGAACAAGAAATAGGCTTGCAAGAAATTTGCAAGACCAAGAAATTGGAAATTTCTTGTCTTGCTTAGCAAGACAAGACAAGAAATAACCGAGCAAGACAAGATTTCTTGCGACCTGCAACACTAGTTTTTTATCATTTCACTCAATTTCACTTAAGAAGTTAGCTATATCAACTTATTATTGGTATTTGTCAGTTGTTTATATGACGTACAGTATGGCACTTTAGGGGTTTTCACGCCTTTACCGGTTGTGTTAGTGTCTTACCTAAGTACCCGAGGCAAGTGCGTCTTTGCTTTTATATGCTTGTACTTATACACTCTATAATTAATTATTATTATTGGTTTTAAATTCATATTAGGGTTTTTTTGAATCTATAGGGCAATAGAGGAAGCACTGTCTTGTTAAAAAAAAATCAATTCTCAAAATTTTATTTTGCACTGTATGGTGACGGTTACCAAAATATGACGATGTGAACCATGTTTCCAATAAAATAGGTGCTTGTGTGGTACATTTATTTACTACAGTTGGGCTGCATAAAGTTTTCTACCAATACCAATCTGCGTGATATTTTTCTAGATACTATTTAATTAACAAAAATCATTCTCTATTGCCCATAAATTCGCAAATTCAAATTACTATGGTGAGGTTTAGTCGCAGAGCTCGATTTGGCATCGTGTGGTTTGAAACAGTTTACTCGCTGTTCCACGTATTATCCATTCACAATCGGATGTCCACAGTTACAGGTAAAATTTATCACCTTTCAATGCTATTGGATAGGGAAAGGAGATAAATTTACCTGTACCTGTGGACATCGGATTGTGAATAGAATATAGGTATACGTACCAAGGTGGGCAAAGTCCAGCTGATCCATCACCAGAACAATTGGCTGATACCGGCCAATCGCACGATTTCGACGTAGGGCTCCAGTAAAGGTCGTCGGGACAGCTGAAAAGATAAGCTACCCCATTGTGGCATTGCCAGAATTTGCAACAGTTTTCGTTTGGCAGGAAAATTGATACCGTGCAATTTTGAGGGCATTTGGCTAAAATAACCATACGGAGTCTCTGAGCAAATTCTCTTAGAAACCTATTAAAAATTGTACTTACGGCTATTAGACCAAGCAGTAGTCGATTGTGAATTATTAGTTGTGGTGGTTGTAGTGACAGCGGTGATTTCTCCGACTTTAAGCTGATTTTGTGCTGAAACAGGAGAGATAGTCAATCGAATGTTTTTAAGTAGAATTTAATAGTTCATTAGGAGAATAGCTTATGGATTACATTGTTATTCCATTCTATATAAATAAAACAAATTCGTATCGGTTACAACCTTAGATTATTTTACAACATTTATAACTCGAGAACCGATGGATCGATTTTTACGATTTCTGCTTTGTTGGATTTTGTCTTTGCCCCGACTAACATAATACCCATTGAAACAAAAAAAAATCACGAAAAACAAATTTATGAAGATTAGAAAATTCATAAAATCCGCATACGTCGCCATCTCTGATAACCGATGCGAAGTACGCCATGGCCGGTATTCTGGTTCTCCAAAACGCTCACCGTTTTTAAGTCGCTCGGCATTTCTAATGTAAATTTACATTAAAAGTGCCGAGCGACTTGAAAACGGTGGGCATTTTCGGAACGAGAATACCGGCCCAGTTCGCCGTGACAGTTTACGCGGTCCTTTCATGATTAAATAAAAACAAAGCTATGTTGAACGTCTGACATTACATTACATATCGGTCTGAGAGTTTACACAATATCATATCACAAACTAGAAAACAAAGGATTGCTTATTGGCCTAGATTTTCCGAATCAACTTTATGGCGTACTAGCACAATTTCATTGACTAGCACTGTTGTTGACGTCATCTGATTTTCCGTCAGTTGTTTATCATGCTATCCGTCAGTGGCGGCTGGCCCTAAGGGGCCAAGGAGCCGTCCCCAGTAGCACAACAATATTGGTAAAATATTATATTTACATATTGGCCCAAGAATGGAAACGACAGATTTTTTTTTTTACCCAATATATATTGTAAATATGAATCCGATATTGAAGAAAAATATTGTCCCAATATTGCTAATTAATAAACATGTAATATTGCTTTTACAAATATACCCAATATTTGTTTTTCAGATTGGCACAATGTATACTTTTTATATGAATCCGATATTGAATATAAATATTTCTCCAATATTACCAATTAATAAATATGAAATATTCCTTCTAGAAATATTTACAATATTTCCTAGAAATATTTACAATATTTTTTTGGAAAAACACATGTATTTAACCAAAGCTCCAACACCTGCAGACTAGCGGTTTCCGGCTTCGAGCTTGTGAACGAAGCACACCAACTTAAAGAAACAGGTTTGAAGGAAACTCAAACATTTTAGGAAAGAGCAAGGCCATCAGTAGCGCGTGGTGCCCTCTCTCGGTAGTCTTGATTGATATGGAAAAGGTACATCTCCTATATATCACCAATATTGGATAAATATTAAATATAAAAATGAATAAAAGATATTGCCAAACATTGATTGGATCCAATATTGGATCAATTTTGGATTCACATATTATATAATAATAATGTAGGAAAAATATACCCCAACCCCAATATATTACCAATATTGGCCACAAATTTTTGGTCAATATGGATAAATATATCACTGTTATATTAGAAAAAATTGTTTTGCCATATTATATGCAACATTGGCTTAATAATGCAAATAAAAACATTATCTGTGCATATTGGTCCATTAATGGATACAATACTATGGTAATATTAGAAAAAGTTGTATTGCCAATAATCCACCAATTTTGTCTAAATAATGTCATTGAAGATATTTTTTCTGTATATTAGCCCATTCTTATGTAAATATAATATTACAATGTGGAAAAATATGTATTGCCAATATTGGCTCAATAATGCAAAAAAAAACAATTTTTTTGTGCTTATAGGTTCAACGATGGATAAATATATCACTGTTACGTAAGAAAAATTTGTATTGCCAATATGTAACCAATCTTGGCTATATGCTGCCGATAAAAATATTGTTTGTGCATATTGGCCCATTCTTGGATAAATATATTATTATAATGATGAAAGAAGTTGTATTGCCAATAAATGTCCAATGTTGGCTAAAAAATTCCAATATTGGGCCAACATACAATATTGGTCCAATGTATCCGCAACATGGGACCAACATTGTGTGCTACTGGGGGTGGCACTGGCGCAAATTATGTCGGTCCTTTTAAAATTTTTTTTTTTTTTAGTTCAATAGTTATGACAATCGTCAGATCAAATTACTTATCATTTAATAATTTGATCCCGACGGAAAAATTTCGTTATTATTCCTAAATTTCCTAGACAATAATTTAAGCGACTGACTAAACTAAACTCGCTGGACTATACGTCCGAGCCCATCTCACAACGGCCCCGCTGCAACACGGCAATTACGTTGGAGAAGGTCAGGCCGCGCTCCCAGTAACCAGCTGTTTTAATACGTATAAACGGGGCCACCTGATCGAACGGCCCGAATTAGTTTTTGCGGCAATTTAATTTGAGAGTCGGTTCGCGGACATTGTTCGTTATTTTTTAGCGGCGTCGCGGCATCTTTGTCGGCATATTTCTTTGAAGCGCTTGCCGTTTGCCGCACCGCACAGAAGTCAGTTTGGTCTGGAAAGACAGTGCAGTAGATATTTTTGAAGTGAAAACTCCTTTAGAATCGTTGGGAGTGATTTGAGACTCGATGGAACGAAAAAGCGACACTTTTTTAACACGCTTATATTAACACACAAAACACACAACAAGAACCTGGAACAAGCCAAGTGAGCTGGAACAAGTCTGGAAAATGTCTGGATAAACCTGGATGAAGTCTGGAAAAGTCTGGAAATCTCTGAATCCATGATTAAAAATGCCAATTAAATTTAATCTCCGGTTAAATTCAAAGTTGGTGTCAAATGATAGTTTACGAAAATCTAAGATAGGAATGTAAAATCGGTTTTCCTCTAAAATTAATCGTTTAGGTTTTACAGCCTGTCAAAGTTGCAAAAAGTCAATTTTCAACTGTCAATATTTCCAAAACAGTTGAACTTAGGTCTAGGGTATATCACATGAAATCTGGTCAGAATTATACGTAGAATCCAAATATGCAATCACATACAGGGTGTTCTATTTAAAATAGCGGTGGTGCCACTGGTTTAGAGTAGAAGCGGCAACATCGCATAACCGAAAATATTTTTAAAATGTAGATTATGGTCGTTTATCCCGGTTGCCAAATTTTCAAAATGATCCGCTTTTTAGTTCTCCATAAACGTCTAATACGCCATCCACCGTGGGACACCCTGTATGGAATCTCGACATTACTGACTTTTTAAAAAATTGAAAGTGACACTTTACCTGTGTCACTTCCCTCTTCGATTTCCCTCACCGATTTCCCTATTCGACTTCCCTCACCGATTTCCCTCACTCTAATTTATTTACCTTTGCTGGCAACAATGGGAACATGTCAGGTAAAAACGTCAAAACAGGTGAATGACATATTTTGGCATGTTTGTTTTATTTTTTCAATATTAAAAAAATTGAATGACTAATCATAATTAATGGTTTTCTTGCAAATAAAATAGTATACAAACCTCGGAGGAAAGTTTTCATTTCTGCCTCGAGATTAATAGTCAATCTCTCGACAGTAATGAAACACTTCCCTACTCGGTATGTAATATACTATTGATATAAACAGAAATTAAAAATTATTTTTCACTTTTTAGTTCAATTTACTATAAAAGCGTGTTTTTTAGTTTTTTTAAACTATATTGTAGGAGGCCTTAGCGAGTTTATCGAAAATTTTAAATGAAAGTTCACTCTGTAATCAATAATATCCACTTTTTAATTGTGAAAAATTGAATGAAAATTGACAAACTTATAAAATTATCTAGCTGTCTTTGGGACAAATGCTGTCAACTACCTTTTCACGTGTTTCTGGTCTACACCATATCTATTGATATCCTGGAGGCAAAGCCTACAACTCGGCTTTCCTGACAAATATAGGCGACCTCGCCTATAAAACATAAAACCTAACATAAATTATTCATAAGATAGACATGCTTGCATAATGACATAAGGTATCATAAGAACATAAGGTATGATAAGGAGATAAGGTATCATAAGTACATAAGGTATAAGGACATAAGGTATGATAAGGACATAAGGTATCATAAGAACATAAGGTATCATAAGAACATAAGGTATCATAGGTACATAAGGTATGATAATGACATAAAGTATCATAAGTACATAAGGTATGATAAGGATTTAAGGTATCATAAGAACATAAGGTATCATAAATATATACATAAATTTTTCAGTTACATAAGTTTCATAAGGGTATACATACATAAATTCATCAGTTACATAAGTTTCATAAGGGTATACATAAATTCATAAGTAATAAAGGCATAAGGTTTTAAAGGATAAGCATTAATAAACGAACAAAATATACCTAAGTGTTAAAAATAGTAAAAAAAAAAAATAGATAGATATTATAACAATGCATATTTTTTAAGTAAATTGTAAAGCGGACCTGCAATAATCGAAAAGTTTTGTACAAATTTCCTGAAATATGAAGCTAGTCCAATAAAACTGTGTAACTGCTTTGTATTATGAGGCATAGGATAATCTTTGATAGCTTTTAATTGGCTGTCACTAGGTCTAATTTCTGTACCATTAATAACGTACCCCAAATGAGTTATTTCTGTATATAAAAATGAACATTTGTCAAGCCGCAACGTAAGTTTATTTTGAACAAGCAAATTAAATACTTCTTTCAATATATCAAGGTTTTCTTGAACTGTTTCAGTAGCTACCAATAAATCGTCAATATATATAAGTATTTTGTGTTGCTCAAGGAGATCTTTGAAAATATTATGAATGAATCTCATAAAGACTGAAGGTGAATTCTTCAAGCCAAACGGCATTCTGAGAAATTCATATTGTGAATCAGGGGTAACAAAAGATGTATATTTTATTGAACTTTGTTCCATGTCCACAAAATAAAAGGCACTTTTCAAATCAAGTTGAGAGAAATAATTCTTATCTTTGAGCTGGTCGATCTGATCTTCAATCAGAGGAATCGGAAAATTGTCAGTATAGTGATTTTATTTAAAGATCTATAATCCATGCAAAGCCTGTAATCGTTAGT